TATGCTAACAAGACAGCTTCACTGCAAAGCACCAGAGTTCAGCTCCTAACTCTGCTTGGTTGTTCTCGGAACTCAACGTACTCTCGAGACTCTCCACACGATACACAAGAGTATAGCTCTCGACTCAGCACAGTCTATGACGAAACTCGACGATGCACTATGAGACTCTTTCGATGCACTCGACGACTACCTCGGCGTTAGACTTCGAGACACTCGCTCAATGACTGACTATCAGCTCACTAGACAAGACGCACACTGACTCCGGACTAGCAGAGTTTATATAGCTTTCGGCTTGTGTTCAGGAACATTCTGGGCTAAACCGGTAAGAATTCAGAAGGTTCTCCAACTGTCCATGGTATGTCGCCAAATGGGCGATTTCTCACGAAATGTGACAACCCTGCCTTCCCTTGCCATTTAATGGCAACCCTAAAACTGCTTTGCGAGGAAGCTTTCTTACTGCGCCTTTACATTTCGTAACAATATATTTGAGAATGCAGGTAGGACTGGTGCACGGGAGTTGATTTTTCTTCCGTATTAATATGCACAGTATTCTCTTATGTAGTGAATATTTTATATTTTCATTCCAGTGTGCATCCCTAACAGGTACGCATATGTGATAGGTTTTCTAGCCTCTTTCATTATGTTTTGGTATTACTTAGTTATAGGAAGTAGGTTATGCCTCATAATTAAAATTCTGCTGATGACATTGTATGTGAAAGTGTAGAGTCTATACACGTGTTTTATGCTCCAGTAAAATTACGGCCTTTTTGGAAAATAAGGCCTGCTTTATGGTTTGTCAGATTGGAATCGCAGTTTTCTCTTTCCAGCATAGCTTCGAATTTAACAAAATTTAATTGTGCTGTTGCTGCTGTAGACTCTGATATTCTTAATTCTGTTACTGATATCATTTTAAACCCTCCTGCTACTGGAAAATATAATCTCCTAACAAAGATTGATTTCAGTCCATTCCGAGAGCAGAGCGTCAAAAATTCTTACTCTGTTGCAAGATTTGGAGCTTGGCGACCAATGTATTTCTCAGTTATCGACTCATATGCCTGCTTTGGCAAGTCATACCGTAAGTGAACCCCTCCTAAGATCTGTATGGCGTGCAAGGCTTCCTAATTGCACATAGTGTATTTTAGCTTCTCATGGTAGTGAAGATGATTTGAGTAAATTAGCTATAGTTACTGATAAGATTTCTGAGCTTGCGACTCATTCTTATGTGAATATGGCTATTGTGATCGCTGAGCCATGTGAATCTGCTAGTGCTCATTTGGAACTCCGTATTATAGCAGAGTTGACTAAACAAGCTAGTGAGTTAGCCTTTACCTGAGATATAATTCTCGCAGTGCTAAGCGTAATTTCCGCCATTTATACCAGGACAGCAGGTCACCCGAACATACTAACCATTATAAAGAGCGAACAAACAAGTTTTGCTTTTTTCATGTAAAATTTGAGGAACATGCTAGGAAACATCAGTCTACATATTCCTTTCGCCAAAAGGGAAATGAATAGAGCGATTGTTGTCTGACCAAAATAGCAACCACCAGTCATATACTCTCGGCCGACCCCTTTCCAAAACTAAAATATTTAATTGCTACTGGTGCATATGTATCGATATTTCCAAAAAATGCTCTGTGTTCTGGCCCTTCCTAGAATTAATTTTTATTTGTTGCCAATGGAACTGAAATCCCCACCTTTGGCGCTAGATGCCTTACTTTGTATTTACATCTTACCTTTACTTGTTTATTTGTCATTGCAGATGTAAATCAGCTAATTATAGGCATAGATTTCCTTTAGAAGTATGGATTACTTGTTGATGCTGCTAATAAAATATTGATTCTAAAAGTAATTTGTCATCGCAGGGTAAATTGCTTAGGAATTCCTTTGATTTGAATATAATCTGTCTTCTTGTTGATCCTAAATTTTATAGTGTACTATCTGAGTATCCTGAACTCGTTAATTCTTCTTATGTAACCAACAATTTTCCATTGTACTGAGACTAAAGGTCCTCCCGTGTTCTTTAAACCTTGTTTGTCACCAGATTTATTCCAGCCAGCAAGACAAGAGTTTGAGTTACTTATGTCACAGGAAATCATTCGGCCATCCAAAAGCCCTTGGATCAGCCCTCTTCACATGGTCTGTAAAGCAAGTAGGGAATGGCACCCTTGCAGTGATTATCATCACTTGAATGCTATGACTATTCCTGACAGGTATCCTGTATCACATATTCAAGATTGTACATAGATATTGCTTGGGAAAAATATTTTCTCAACACTCGATTTGGCTAGGGCATCATCAGATTCCTGTTATTCCAGAGAACATACCCAAAACAGCTGTAACCACCCTATTTGGATTATTTGAGTTTCTTAAAATGTGTTGTGACACTTATTGACCTATTTTTCCGATGGCCAGAAGCAATATCTAAGAAGGATACTTTGGCTGAAACTTTTACTCAAACGCTGTTTTTGCCCATTGGATTGCTCGGTTTGGAGTTTCCACACCCATAAGTACCAATCAAGGCTGACAATTTGAGTCACGCATGTTCACTGCTGTTAATAAAATTCTTGGTGTTTACCAAATTCGGAATTCTCCATACTGCCTTGCAGCTATCAGATTACTTGAGTGTCCATCCAAGTTTCTAATTCTTCTAATCCAGTGTCATTTTTACAGAAGTTTTGTGAGGCAGTGAGAGAGATGGCACTGGTACCTCATCAGCCCATGTTAACAATAAGTATATCATGCACCTAGCTTCAGAATCGTGCACCCACATGTTTGTAAGACTCGATGTTATAAAACCACCATTGACTCGCCTGTATGATAGACCATTTAAAGTAGTAAAAAGAATTAATAAAAATTGTACCCTTATTAAAGAAAAAGAACCTATGATCAGTATTGATATCATGAAACCAGCATTTTTAGTTTCAGATACTGTAGTATCGGTTTTCTGTTCCTGAGCAAACTCTTCTTTCAGTAAAACTTAATGACACTATACCTCCAATGCAGACTACTTGTTCTGGTAGAAGAGTCAAGTTTAACCCTAGGTATCTTTGACCCCTCATGCCTTTGGCACGTGTGGGAGGGGGAGTACTGAGGTGGAATAATTGCATTCCGATGAGAATATTTGTATGTTAACATTTGCATGCAATATTCATGTTTGCTGCACTGTACTCATGTGCATTCATTATAGCATGAGTATAAAGACTCAAATTTTTCGCTAAGACTCACTTTTGCTCTTGTACTTCACTGTTTCCGCTTGTTCATGGTCAACAGTTGGCGTTGGCTTATCATCATAGATTTAATTTTGTATTTTATCTTTTAATTTGAAAGAAAGTTAATTTTATGGTTTTACTAAAGTCATCGGCTTTCCTCTTAATGAACCTTCTAACAAGTTTGGAATATTGTGACGTAAACCATCGCCACATACACGTATAACCCCATTTACATTTTTCCACTTGTTCTATCAAACTACCAACTCTGTGAGAAAATTTGCTGCACCCCCCTCCATCCCATGTTAAATTCACTTACAACATTTAGTAATAGAAAATTTATTCTTCGAAAGATATTTTCATGAGTGTATTTTTGAGCATTTAATATTTGCACGTGCTTAGAAGCAATCCATCAAGAATTGAATCCATTGTCTTTTAATCTTCTCATCACCGTTGGTGCCTACATCACACTTGTGGGACAATACAAAGGACTTATACAAACAACCAGGCCATATTTGGGATTAGAGTGTGCATCCTTTAGATAGCATTCAACCTGAGTATATTGTTCAGGATATGAGTTAGCGTTTATTGCATGAACATAATTTGCCTAGAGTTATGCACTCTCCCCTACCCTCCGTCCAAAATTTTAAAGTGAGTCATAATTTGTCGATTATAATGTAACTGGCTTTTAAGGAAATACTCCAAACATTTTTGAGTACCCACATATAAACCTAAGTTCAACATTTTAAACAAGAGTAAGAAATTTTTAAATATATTAAGAAAAGGTTATGTGAAACATCCAAAAAAGGCATTTTTATGTTTTAATAAACTTTTGATTTATGTTAGTGCAATATATGAAAAAGGGTAGATTTAGTATGATAGCTAATTATTTAGCAGACATTATGCATTTGATTTTTTTAAACTTTTATTTGTTGGCTTCTGAGTATCCCAATTTCCAATAGCAGGGATTCCATTGAAGTCAAGTCTAAAATTACTGATTCTCTCTATTAAAAATATAGGAGAAGGTAAATTAAAAAATTACTGTTCTATTTTACAAATGGAAACTTGTGTAGATTGTAAAATGAAGGATTTTTATACTGGGGAGAAAACTGTTCAAATAATTATGAATTTTTTAGATTAATATCAGAACTAAACTCATTGCTTTGCTGAAATTATATAAAAGATATTCATATTATTTTTAATACATATTGGTTAATATTGCTGTAAATCCTATGCAAGATTTCAACAGCTATTAGTCAGAATATTGTAAAAACTCAAGTATTCTGAAAAGGTGAGACAAACTATTTCAGTATGCTAATAATATTCAGATCTTTCAATAATTCATATTTATGAGTATATATAATAGACTTGAAGACTATTTTACTTTGCTGTTTTATTCTGTACTTTGCAATTAACTTAATAAAAAAAGATCTATGAAATGTGCTTTGAAAATAAAGATTAGTTGTATATTTTATGAAGTATTTATGAGTAATGAATGTACAAAAATTTACTCATTATAATAATTTGCATTAAAATATTTATTAAAATATTAATGATGCATTTAAATTGCAGGTTGAAAGCACCCTTTTTCATTACAAAAACTTGTATAAGCTTTGCTTCAATTTGAAGTCCATTGCTAGATTGCCTATTTTTACTAATTTTTCATTTAGACGATTTTTATTTATATGTCTGTGTGGTGTTTCCACTCTTGCTCCCACCTTTTTTTTTTAACCAGGGGGAGGGAGGGAAGATGATAAACCTACTTTTATATTTTTTTTATTTCTTCTGTAGGTATTCTCTGATATACAACACCTAGCTCTAGTGAAATCAAAGGAAAATATCCATTCCACCAGCCAATCACTATCTGCCTTAAAAGATGATTTGAAGTTGCCTCTTTTGCCTGATTTAATTCGCCGTTTAGCAGAAGAGCGTATGGAATTAGAAAGAGATGTGCATAAAGATTCTGATGTCAATGATCAGGATGGTTTAGCAGAAATTAGTTCTGGTACTCCATCATCAAATGTGATACTGAAAGTTCCGTCCTTTAAGCCAGCTAAGTCTCCAACTGTGAGTATAGAAGGTGATGATCCCTGTCTCCCTGTTTTATCTTCCTCATCTTCTCCTCCGCCAGGAACTTCTAGTCATGTTGTCTCAGGGAACAAGGGAATTGCTGTATCACTCAAGGAGCTCATTGCTAGGAGCATTAGTCAAAAAGTAAGTTGCCACCTCAAAGATAAAGCTTTTAATGAAGAACATACTGTAGAGTATTCTTACGCCACTTCTAATGTGGACAGCCCAGCTTGTAGTATACCATGGGTGGTAGATGGTGCATCAAAAGATCTAAAAGAAGGTAATTTGTCAAATATAAATAATTCTTCAAATTCTTCAGATAGCTCCAAATCTGAAAAACGCACTCGCCCTAAAAGAGGTCGATATCGCAATTATGATCGAGATAATTTAGCTCGTGCAGTGCGAGCGGTGCAAAAAGGAGAAATGAGTGTACATCGAGCTGGAACATTTTATGGTGTTCCTCACTCAACACTTGAGTATAAAGTGAAAGAGCGTCATTTATTGCGACCTAGGAAGAGGGATCTGTTAAATAACTCATTAGTAGCTGATGCAGTTGAGCCAGTTTCCTCATCAAAAGCAAATCATACTTTTTCCATTGAGAGTAATACAAGTGTTAAAAATGTGAAAACTAATCCAAATCAAATAGCTGCTGAGGCATCAAATGGTTTGCCAACCGATATAGAACAACCTCACCGTCCAACAATGGGCTCATACCCGTCCCCACTATCATTATGGCAAAGTATGCCATTTTTGTCTTTAGATTTCTCTCAGTTAAGTTCAAACAATTTTTTTGCATCACAAATGATGCGAAAACTTCAAGAAAATGCAAGACTGCATGAAGAAACTCAGAAAAAAAGAAAGAATCAAGATTTTGGAATCTTAGAAAGTCTAATTAAATCAACTTTAGAAAGGTCTGTCTCACCTGAAAGTAAATCATCACTCATTTTATCAACTGACTCTGCATTATCTGATTATAAAGGTTCTGACAACATGAGTGAAAAATGATTCATTTATTGATAAAATTCCTTGATAGAGCTGTTGGGACATGCAGTGCATTTTAAGCACTCTAAACAGCTTGTTTTTGAAATGTGTAAAGAATATATTTCTCATCTGTTTCCAGGGTGCCTTTTTTGTAGGCCATTACGTCTCCTGGTCTGGGATGTCCAAGCTAGTCTTTTAACTGCTGTGATCTAAAATGAAACTGGATTGACTTCATGAAGCCATCTTCTAAGAAGAACGAACCAACTTAAATATAAATATAAATGTATTCAAATGTTTAAATATAATTTTCAATGAAATATTAAACAAATAATGCAATATTGAGCTGAAAAGTATTTGAAAGGAAATTATGTGATAGCCTCAGTAAAAAACATGCAGGTTAAATCTTCAAGCTATGACCTATGACTGTAAATACTCAAAACATCAGTCTGAAATATTTAAATTTTTATAAGTGGTGTGTCTTCATGCGTTTGCTTGGCATTCATTCTTTGAGTTATTTACAGCATATGGTCTTGCAAGCCTCTAAGGCAAACATGCAGTTACGCATTCTGTTCAAGTGGTACAGTATTTTTGTTAATTTCTGTTTACACTTCTATAAATGACTTTTTGTATAAAATATTGCTGCCAACTGATCACTTACAATGAATGGATTATTTGCAATCAAGCTGCCTTTGTGAGTTTTAACATTATTTTATAATGTGTGCGTGTGTGTAACAAATTACTAAATTTTTTAATTTAACTTTTAAAAACATATGAAAGTAATTTGAAAGAAAAAAACTGTGGCATGCACACTTCATTTTTTTCACAAATTATTTGGTATTTTACATGTTCTAAGTTCTGTTTGTACAGTATGTACAAAATACATGGGGGGGAGAGGGAAGCAGCCATATCCAAATCTCCCAGTGCTTTTTTAATAATATTTTGAGCAGCATGCTGTGCTAATTGCTGTTTAGTATTATCAGAGTTATTTATGTTTGCATACTTTACCCCCTTTGTATGGATATCACTAGCAATTATTGTTGTTTCTGATATTTGAAATACTTCTGTAGGGCAGATGATGAAAATTGAGCAGTATGTATAATTCATGTATTAGTATTCCTGGGTTCTTAATACAGTATGCAAAAATCTTGAAAATCTGGTATTATATACCCTTTCTTCAGTGACATCCTGAAACTCATTTAAACACCTTCAGTATATCAAAAACTCAGTGTAAGGTTTTCCTTGATCATAGTTACTGAATAGAGATTGTCTTCCCAGAACTATGATGAACAAACAAAAAAAACAAAAAAAAATCATGCTCTGAATCTTTATTTCAACCATCAGAGTTTTTCTGTTTAATATGCCACCTCTCTAAATACATAAAACAGGCATGTGAAGTCATCAGTGTAACTGATATTGTGAATTGTTACATAATGTGAGGAAAGACTGAAGTATATAATAAAAATCTGATACTTTTTTAAGAGTGTCTTTAGACAGGTCAGTCTGCATTTAAATAGACAATATAAAATAATTTATACCATCAAGTAAAATGTCTAGTTCAGTAAATTGTAAAGGTAAGTGGAAATAAAAACTGTGGAAATAAAATCCCCATGGCTTCAGCATTAAATTTCAAAGCATACTAATGATGAGAAATATCTGATGTAATAATGTTTTACTATATGTACTAAAATATAAAAGTTTGATTGACAGTATAAAGACAAAATTAAATTTTAATTAGCCTGTAAAATCTTGATTTTGAAAATTTAGGGATTGTGTAAATTAACTAATCCCGCATCTAATGTACTTATTATATTAATCTTAAATATCTCAGAAAGAAAAATGGTGCCATTGACAAAAAGGCTTACTGCCTGAGGTTTTTCAAATAAATTGGCTTGCAGGTCATACTATGGCAGTTTCTGAAATTTGTAAATTTTGAACTCTTTATATTTTTTTTAAAAGTTTAATTGTTAATAATAACAAATCATGTATTTCAGTTGCTGTGATGACATTATGTAAGAATCATAGTACATCTGTTACGTGCTGAACTCTTTTAATTTTGAAAATTTATAACTGAACTATATCATTGTGTCATAATGTTTTTTAAACATAGAATTTTCATAGAATTAAATATGAAATATTTTTGTTAGCTAATATAAATAAATTAATGAAGTAAGGTGAAAGAATGTGGTATTTTGAAAAAGGCTTTATTTGATTGTAAAGAATGCATAAAAATACATTACATTTTTTTGGAGTCTGTGTATTTTTGTTTTAGTAACAAGGTATTTCAGAGCTTGTTATTGTCGATACCAGGTTTTTAAAGATTTTGTGACTGTAATGGTGTAAACTGTAATTTTGTAGTTTCTTTGTACTGAATAATTTTAAGTAAAATTTGACTACTATAATAAATTCATAGCATAAGGTTATGTGACATCTGCATAATTGGATTTTTTTTTTTTTTTTTTAAATGAGCTGCGCTTGTAATTTGCTTCAGGCTTTAGTTTTTGAAACTGCTAACATTACCTGTTTAGACATCCTGCTGCACTGAAGAAATCTTATTACTTGAATTATCTATCAAGCAATAGAATACAATAGAAAATATATAAATCCTCTATATTTTAAAGTGCTTTGCTGAAAAGTTGTAACTCATGTGGTAAATGTAACAAATAGTTTAAATCCATTTGACATATAAGTAAAATATAACTTCTGTAATAAATGCTAGACAAGAGCTGTTTTCTGTTCTGAGTGTGAGGCTATTTATGGAAACCTAATGCAACTAATTGTGATATAAGAGTTAAGAAGGGAGTAGTTATCGAAAGTATTGCAGTTGGAAATGTTACTACTTATTACACTGTATTTTTCTGTGACCATTACATTTAATGCTAATTGTGTCAATTTTTAAACTCTCAAAGAATTTTGCAAGTAGTTCATCAATTTCTGTTAACATTTCTGTGCTCATACAACTGTTATCACTTTCAGCAGTATTTTGCTTTAAGAAATTTGAACTCGTAAAAATTATCTTAAAATTTATGTGAAACTTAGGTATGTTTTCTAGAGGTTAACTGGAAGGTTTTGTATGTTAATCGCAGATAGTTATAGTACAAAAATGTTATATAAGTTCTGTGTATGTGAAATTAACGTATATTTATGTAAAGTGTTAATAAAAAGCAAAATTCAGGTAGTATGGGAAGCCAAAATTGCAGAATAGAACAGCTGTGTTAGGTATTGTCTATCCTTTCAACTGTTAATGCATAACATAAATTTAACAATTTGTTTTTAGCATACTTTAGTTTACTTAAATATGTGTAATTTTTGAAGTATGCAGGAAATATTAAGGATTATCATGAGACAAGGAGTCTAGAGGGAAATAAGTGTGTTGGAATTATCAAGAAAATATATCTTTATCCAGGGCTTTTTAAAAAACATTGATGTTTCAGGGGCTCTGAAGCAATATGTTCAGAAGCGTGCAGTTAACTTTTGAGAAACTAGTTGTATTGAAAATAAACTCCTATTATTTACTATTTTATTTTCAGTTCATGAAAACAAAAATGCAAGACTTATATATTACAATATATGTAACTTTCCATAGTATAAATAGTAATTAAAAAAAGCAACTAGAAGTTCAGTTTTGATTATTTAGAAAAATAAGTAATTTAAAACTTTCATGAGAAAATGTCATAATTTAACTTTTGCAATGTTTCTCTTAGATCTAAATGATAGTAACTATTTGCAATGAGAATTTTAACTAAGCTGAGTTGGGTACACAGAAGTAGCATCATGGCTAAATATAATTTCACATGGTATTTTATAGGATCCACATTGCAGGAATAGTTTCACTGCTATCACTAAAATTAACTTGGAAGATGTAATTATGAATTTTCATTTTGCTTAAGCTTGTAATTTAGATGAATTCACACACGCACACAGATTATGTGCATAAATATACTATGTGTGTACGTATGTATGTATGTGCATGTTGGGAAGAGTAAAATACTGTGTTAAAACTTGGTAGTTAGCGTTATGATTTTGAAACATTAATGGCAGCATTTGCCATACTTATTGTCTCTAAATACAGGTAATTTTTTTTTTTTGTTTTTGTGTGTATGATAAACTTAGGAAGACTATGGATACAATCACAGTGTTCTGAAAAAGTTCTCACTGTTCACATCACTAATTATGATATGTGTGCATTCTGCCTAAGTACAGCTAAGTGAAATGAAATCCTGCCACCAGGTGTGTAAAACTTTGCTTCTTTTCAGTGCAGATTTAATCTTCCCAACCTGCAGATTTCTTTCATTTTTAAGAAGTTATCATTATCTACTTTTTGAAATGGGCTAAATTTTAAATAACTCTGAGATACCAGAGTGTGTATGAGATAATTCAGGTTGCATTTGTGTCATAGTTATATGATGTAAATGATAAAACAAAGTGACCACAGCAAAGTTTCTTTGCAGTTCTGAGCTTATGTAAATAATACTTTTCAATTCATACATTTCCATGATTTGTGCACACATATTCCAGCAATGCTTTTAAAAAGATAGGTTTACTTGCATAATGTTGATCCCAACCCAAAGTATTATGTAAATCAAATTATTCATACGTCCTTTACCACCTATTGATATGCAATAATAATGGTAGAAGCATTCCATGTAGCTGAAAGAAAAATGGATTTTGCGAGCTATATAAACAAAACGATGTTTCATACCTGGTGTTCAAATGTGTACTGTCTCACCATTCAAAAGATTACTTGGTGTAGTGTTTAAAGACATACTTGTTAGTCTTCATTTAATAATTGTTATTACTAAGGCTACTGCTTTATGATTATACAATGGGACTTTTTCTTAGGCAAGGTCAAAAATTTTTGCAAATACTGTATCTTTCTGAATAAAAGGTTAAAATTTAGATTATTAACCTGTACCCAATTAAAAAAAATACGTACTTAACTCATACATCCGTATACTTAAGCATAATAAAATGTCATATTTTCAGTGATGTTCTTTTTACATAAAATTTTATTTCTAAAATGTCATAATTTATTGTATATGTATTATTTTTTTTAATTTTGCTTAATATAATTATATTCCTAAAATGCATCTAATGTAGTTGTTTCTCATGTCATATTGATTAACATTTTTAAATATTCTAAAATAATCACGTTGAATTATTTTGGCTAGTCCCAGTTGAATATATGTTTCCTTTTTAATTTATGTTCTGGGCGTACCTTTACAGAACAGTCTCGAAGTCCAGAAACTTTTAATTTTCAATTATTATTTTTCTATAGTATATTTAGTACAGTGACTCATGATTCATAGAGTAGTGTTCACTGCAACGATGTTTTCAATTTAGCTCAGAAGAAAGAGAATGTGTGTGTTTGTTGTGATTTAGATTTTGAAATCAGAAATTAATCTATTTTTTAAGTAAATTGCAGGTCAATTAAACATTCCATGTTTAACCTTAGTTTTTTAATAATGTTACTGATTTTTAACTATATGTGGTGTATGTCCCAATTTTAATATCTGGTGCAATAGATGTATTATTAAGTGATGAATATATTGATTTATCAGTTATGTTTTGTAGCTTTTAAAGACATTAAATTAATTCTAAAAATAAGGAGTTACAATGCTAATTGTGCTTACAGTTTTGTTTTAGTTTTGCTGGTTATTGTTAAGTCATGAAGTGTGTTCCATCTTTGCCAAAAAAATAAGCAATTTGTTATTATTTTTCCTTATAGCATGTTGCTTGTTTTTTCTATTGTATTTTTTTATATGATTAAAAGCTATTATATGTTTACTTGTTATTTGGTTACATGTTATATATTTACAGTGCATAAATTTAAATTGTTATTGTTATTATAAATTTATTTCAATGTCTATTGTCATTTTTTTTCTTCAATGTGATAATCAAGAGTCAGGTTTTTGGTAGGAGGCAACTTCAATCCAACTGTGTAATTAGATATTAATACTGAGAATTCAGCAAAACTATCATCCCTTATTACATGTAAAAAGTTGAACAACAATTGCAAAAATTTTGTGAAATTGTATTTTTATACTTCACTAACATGTATACTTCTTTGATCTCATGCAGTTTATTATACATATTTCTCTTTGAAAACTTCTGCAACATTTGAATTGATTTCAGGAGTCCGAGAAATAATTTAGGATTCACTGATTAACAGTATTAGTGGTCATCACCTTGGAGATAACTTTTAGAGATGATATATTATCATCTCTTGTTGATTTTATTTTCTGTATTACTTGTTCTCTATAATCCATAAAGTACGAAACGAGATGACTTTTTAAATTATTTTAAATGCTTTTCGAGTTAATTTGTTTTTTCCTTTTTCAATAAGATTTCTATCTGTTGGAAAGTTATTTTATTGTAGAAGTATTAACTATAATATAATTATACACATTACTGTACGTACGGTGCTATGGTCAAAAATGTTGACACACATTTTTTCCTTTTAGATTTGTTAAGGGAAAAGTGAAAGTGGGCTTCATCTTTACTGGGTCTTGAATACCTAACACCTATTTGAATTTTTTCTGCCTGTCATTTGCGGTTAATATAGTTGAATTAGAATCAAACCTCATATGTGTGGAGTGTGTGTATGCACGTCATAAAATGCTTTTATATCAACACTCACAAGTTCCATAATGGACATATAATATTTTTTTTTTGATTTGAAATATGTTAATTCACAAAAAACATAAAACGTGATAAATGTTATCAAATAAGTTAATAGCTTCAGATTTTTCTGTCTTTGAAACAAAAATCTCTTTAAAAGTTACAGCATGTTTTTTTGCGTGTTTTTGGCTTGAAAGCTAATTGTCAAGGAATGCTAGCCATAAATACTGTTACTGTAGTTTTTTTTTTCGGCAAATGAGACTTTGAGTTAGTTGTACGACATGAAACGTTCTATTAGTAACCTTTATGTTGTCATTAAATGCTTTTGTTTTCATGGAATAATTATGGAGTAAACTACAACTTATTGTTTCAAATAGTCTCTGTGTTATATATTATAAAATATGTTAGCATTTTGTGTCATGTTTAATATGCATTATTTTCTCAATTATTTGGACATATATTTCTCTCATATATTCTTGCAAGTTATACTATTTGGACATTCTAGCAAAGTTTTAGCACTAAAATTGATAATAATGTGGTGTTCTATTTTAAATTTTATTCTTTTACTGTTTTTTTTTTTTTTTCCATCAACCATGATTCTGCTGTAATCTTAGTATGTGTCAACTGTTATCATTTTAGAGGCTTAGTGGTGCGTGAGCATTAAGAGTATTTCTATTCCTTAGACAGTTTTGATGAAGTATAATAAATATGTCTATGTATAAATCTGCCAAGGTGGGTAAACAAATGTAAACTTGTATTTTCAATATATTGAAGTGAATTTAATTAGTGAATTAATTCGTTTAAGCTGAATATACTTCTGAAGTTGTGTTTTAAATCCATGTTTATTTTTTTATTATTATTATTATTTTTTTTTTTTTTTACAAAATTGCAAAATTTCTGAATTAAATATTTTTGCCATTTTTGTTATATGCGTATATGTATTTTTTATGTGTGTGTGTGCGTACGCACCAAACATAGTGTGCAGCATGACAAAATAGATTTTGAATAACAAATATTGTTATTGCAGTTACGTAAGTATTTGCATATGTCTTCATTATTAATGAAAGTGGCAATAGAAAAAGGCTATTAAAGCTTCTTCATTGTTGTAACCATATTTGTGAATAACTGTGTTTATACTTGGTATATAATTATCAGTTTCTAGCAAATTTTTCGTTAAAAAAATTAATGCCATAGCTTATTCAGCTATAATGCTACATTCACAATTAATGTATCTGGTCTCTGAGTAAGGCAGCTATCTAATTACTGCAAATGGGCATTATTATAAGCAGCAAGTACGTAAGTAAATTATATCGAAAAAAAAAGGTCCCATTATCTGGCATGAAGAAATGGTAATCAAATGTATATATCCCAAGCCATTAAAAAGCATTTCATGTAGAGAGCTTTTACATGCACCTTCCCCTTCCTCCTGAAAAAGCATTTCATGTAGAGAGCTTTTACATGCACCTTCCCCTTCCTCGTTTTATTCAGAGAAATCAGTTCTAATTACAGCTAATTCTAGTTTTATATAATATATGCATATTGATTGATTTTCTAAATAATTAGTGATTTAATATTTTTAAAATTTTACTCTTCTGTTTTCCATAAAAGAATAGTGGTGTCTGGAATATGCTACATTTGATAGTTTAGCATGAAAAATGTGATTCATGAAAAGATATCATGCTGTAAATGGTAAGTGAATTGCTTTCTTTAGGTCATTAATGTATTTCAGTATGTCTTGATTATCATATTAGTTTCGTTAGTATGTATTGATGTATTTTATTTATACATTAAAATAGTTGAATAGTTTTAACACTTTCCCCAGGCTCTGTTGTCCTTTTTACATGTTATTTAAATGCAGGATTTGGAGCATGTGCATAGAAAAATGCAAGTTTAATATAGCAGTGAAGTGAGAGCTTGTGTATGAAACAGTTGAACATTGAAATATGAAAGTTGAACTTTCTTTGAATGCTGTAAGAGCATTATATATCCCAATTTTTTGTTGTTTTTAGTTGTATCATTTTCTGCTGCTGTCAGGATCTGGCACATCATGATTCTTGTACATTTCAGCAGATAACAATTTGCCTTTTGCCATCAGTCAGAAAATCATAACCACTGAAAATTTTGATAGTGTTTAACTGTTCAGTTGTATAATTTAGGAAGTTTACTGTAAAAAGAGTAATCCAGCGGTCTCAGTATCTGATAAAATTATTAGAGGGCTTTTCTAACATGTGACTTAATCCTTTCTGATTTTAGCAGTAGTCTATCTCTTGCACAATAGCTTCTTTTTATGCTGCCTTAGTTTCCTAGATTCTTATGATGTTCTGCCTAGCTAAAATTTTTTGTATTGAACTTAATGCATGACCAGCTTCATTAGACAATTGTTGTTCAGCACAAAATTGTTAAGTAGACAATTTACCATGTTTAGATCAATTTATATTTAAAACTTACTCTTTTTATTTTAAATATGTGGATTTGATATTTTCAATATAAGTGTGCAGTATCTGAACATGTGTTTTAACTCATTGAAAATTAAAGTATTTAAAATTTCATGCATGATAATTTATGTAAGCATATGCACACATAATCCCTCTTTAAATGAATATATTAAAGTTTAAGTTAGAGTTAATGTCTGTGTGTTTAGCTCATTAAAAAAAAAAAGTTTGTAATCCAGCACAGTTACATTAAAGGAAACTGTCATGCAAGTATGTATTTGAGATTTCAGAGCAAAATCTTCTAATTCATATTGTCTAGTTGCATTCATTACAAGCAGGTTTAATTAAGTGCTTTTCCAAAGCCATTTTATCAAAGTATGGATTTTAGCATAACCAAATTACAGTTGGCAAAAGTGGGGAATGGCTCAGCCTTTGTTGTGATGCCTGCAGTTTTAATGTAACACTAGATATGTTTCTAGGAGGCTTGGGTTATGGCATTTCATTAAGTTCTGTAGACAACATAGAGCACTTCAGAAGCAAGCATGCTTATTCTCACTATCAGTTTTACAACCATATGTTCATAAATCCCATTGGTAATAGATGAGTTAAATAAGGAAGAAATTGAGAATTGTCACATTCTGTACATTATAAATTTGAAAATAAACCTTTTTTTTTTTTTTTTTTATTTTTTTTTTAGTTAAAAAGGCTTCGTGTCTCAAACTGTGATTTGGCAAGCAGTCCTCAAAGCTTAATCTCAGTAATGTGGAAATAAATTGTCAATAACTTTCCTAAGATTGACATTTTATGGAATTTGTTACTTGTTACTGTACCTATGGGTTTCCCCTCTTAATTTTAGTTGTGGAGGAGGGATTTAAATCACTATGACAGTGGTGCATTTTTACCAGTATATATTGAAATGTAGACCAGCTATGTAAGAATCAGCTGGCTCATCCAGCTCATTAATATAAGTACCAACATTTGTTCTGTTTTTAGGTAATGAGCTAATTTAAATTCATATAATCTTGAATTATTAAAAATAAATATAAATTTTCTTCTATTAAAGTTTAATGCTAATGTAAAATTAAATGATTTTTAAATAATTGTATTTTTTAAATATAAGCATACTGGTAATAACATATGCTAAGAAATTGCTTCCAAATAGACATGGTGGTCTGCAGAACATTTAAAAAAGTGATCCCCACTGAAAAAACTTTTGAGAAATGCTGCTATAAAGTATAAAATTTGTGCTCTTTGTTTTTACTTCTCGAATCTTCTGAATTTATGAATTTATTATTTTAGATTACAAAATAAAGCAGTGAGTTTTAACAAGCTTCATTTTTTTAAATGCTGCAGTATTTTTTTTTAATTGTCTTTGATCAAGTATGCATTCTTTTTTTCAAGGACCTTGGGGGGGGTGACCATTTTTTCTTTTCTCATGATAGATTCTTAACCATTCCATTCTAGGTTTTTGTTGATTTTCAATAGTTAAATGATCGTAATTTATTCTTTTTATATTTATTTGTAGTGTAGTATTAGTTTTTTTTATTTTCATAATTTCCAGGAAGTAGTGTACTTCTAAATTGCATACTTTTTCTCAGCTCCCTCCTTTTCTTTCTTTCCCTTTCTTTCTTTTTTTTTTTTTTTTTTTAAAGAAATGAAGGAAAGCTTATGATTTTAAGCATAATTATAAAGTTATTCATTTTAATGCAGTAAATGCTTCGTATTATTATAAATTTCATTAAGGCCATGCATTAAATTTGAAATGTTCATGCTGATAAAGATAAGGAATTATTAAATATTTATGGCTTATTCTTTTTGGCTCTTTTTTTAATAAACTTGTGAGATCCATATTTAATTCATAATATTTATTGGCTTCAAGATAATAATAGAGAGATAAAGCATAATGGAGAAATAATAAAATTTCAAGGAATCTTAAAACTTATTTATATAGTTAATTTTAAAAAACTGCTTGTTTTGCCCCCCTTTTTTTTAAGTATGCAGTCGCATGAAGGGTATCGCATTTTCCATATGTGTGATAAAATTATCAACAGTTTATTTTTAAATCTTTGTAGATTAAAAGAACATGTATGTGGTATCTAACACTGTTCAGAATCATCATAAGAAGTTACTGAGACAAAATGGGTCTCTAAATCTTACGTATTTGTATACGAGAATTTATGTATGTAGAACTAGTGTACAAAATAGTAAGCAGGACATCTAAATGAAATCATTTCCTTATTTTGTATTTTAAACTTATTATTACCATCTTTTAAAACACATTTTCCAACCAGAATACTTATTTGTTTTCATAAAAATACATCTTATATTAGTTTATTAGTTACATACTTTGTTATTTAATAAAGCTAATTTTTTTTTTTTTTTTTTTTCAAGGAATAAAATTTTGAGCATTTATTTGTGCATTTAAACTTGTGTTAAAAATAAAAAGCGAATTGTAAGGTAGTATTTTGAAAATGAATTTTTTAACTTATAATTTTGGAAAAGTAGTTGAAAAGGAACCAGTTTAGTTTTTACAAGGAATTATAGGTAATGTTTTCAAATTTACTCCTCCCGCTTAAAGGCTTATTAATCATGAACTTTATTGGCAGAAGGTAATTTTATTGGATAATATATCTACACTGCTATATTTTAGCTTTTCCCCCCTAATTTGATTACTGTAGCTGCTGAAGTAGGAAATAGTGAAATTTTTTAAGCTTTTTGTAACAAAATGTATACATATAAGGCAAGTAAATCAATTTCCATTATAAAAAGATTTTGTATGTGATTATTAACTTTTGTCTCTCTAATTTCATCCTCTAAGCATAGCATTTTGCAACGATACAATTGCAAGCAATGAATCCCTACCATGCGAGATCAAGTGCAGAATCCAATTCTGTACCATAAAATTAAGGTGGAAAAGTTTGTAATATGAATCAATTGGAGTTTGTGAAGTTATAGTTACTTGAAATTGTTATTTTAACTGTAATTTTGGAGTTAACTATCTTTCAGCAACTGTATTGTGACTATAATATTTTTTTCGTATCTGACATTCTCCCATAGAGATTTTGGCAGTTCAGTACCTGCACAAGTTTTAAAATAGTGCAGGAATTAAATTACATGTTTGAGTCCAGATTAAGACTTTGAATAAATATATGATCCTTGTACAAAGGGAGAATTGTTCAATCAGTCAATTTTGAAACTTGCAAAATAACGATGCTTTATTGATAGCTTCTTGAATGCCAGCTCCAAGTCTTCAAAAAGTGTGATTATCTCCTCTAATGCTTCCAAGTAATTAAGCCTTCTACATGAAATTACTAGTTGATTACTTCTCTAAATGGTCTGTCCTTTGAAAGTTTCCCAGTAACTAAATGAGGACAGATTTTGCTAAATAGAGAATTGAATTTTATTTACCACTAATGACTTACAGAGTGAGTATAGAAAGCAGTGTAATTTAACAGATCTAAGACACAACTTCTGACTGATGACAAAGACCTAAAGCTGCTAGCAGTAACTTAATATTGCATGTAAAACTGTATTACACACTGCTGCTAACTGCAACTGTAAATTCAGAATTTACCATTTTCCAAAACTAATCTTTTTCAGCTCTGTTAGGCAGTTTAGGTAAAGATGAGTAAAACAAGCTTAAATTCAGCATATATGATGCATCAAATCAATTAATCATTAATATAAGCTATATTCATTGCATGCCTGTTATTACTTCGTATCAACTAATCTTCGTGATCTTCAGAAGTAAGTTTAATTTTGCGTATAAAATCATAGGTATGCAAGACAGAGTGAAAATTAAAAATAACTGAGTAGAAAATTGTAATAAACATTACAAATTTACCTTCACAAAATTTAAAGCTCAGTCCAGCAATCATGTGCCAGCAGCTGGGTGTTTTTCTTTTCTTGTGTGCTGTAAACTGAAAAATTGTTAAAATGGAAGAACTTGATTAAAGCAAAGCTTTCAAATTTTTACTTTAGTTTTATTTTATATGTGCTGTGTATCAGACATTGAATGTGGAGAGGTTCATGTGACCAAGGTTTTGGTCCAGTATTACAAAAGTTAATCATCCATAATTGAATATTATGAAATTTTCTAAGTACCAAAGTGGAGGATCTTATTCCAGTATTAAAAATTAAGACCTTTCTGCGATAGCATTGTGGTGAAATTTTATGGATAATAGTGTAAAATCATATAATTTCTTTTTTAAAGTAATATACCTGAATATTTTAGTTCGTGTGAAAATTTTATTTCACATTGATTTGCTAACTGAAATTTCTCATATTTTATCTAAACTAATTTTTTCTTATATATTTTTGTCTTTATAACATTCCAGTTTACATTCCAGTATTCCTGTAAAACAGCTGCATATACTATAATTCTTTTACTAATTAAAGTACATTCCTTTAAAGTATCCCATATGTAGAATGCAAATTAGGTAAAATCTTGTACATTGTTTTGTAATGGATGCGTACAAGAGATTTATTAAATTTTTAATAACAATGTCATTATATCAACTTGAAGTCTTACAGCACAGGTTGCAGATTATTGTAGAAGTGGTCTGTTTCTGTATCTGTGTCTAAAACTTAACAGTGATGAGGTAACTGTATTTTATATAACAAAATAGTGATATAAAGATGCCACTATATTTTATGATTGCAGTACTGAAGAGTTTCTCCACTATAAATATTTATGTTGTACTTTATAAAATTGTTTTTATAATGCAGTTTTGGTAATTAGCTGTAATAAAAGTGTGTAGCAAAGATATTTTAAATGTGAAACATTTGTAATGATTTGTAATACTGAAATCTATGCTAAAAAAATAATACTTTTAGCAAGCACTGCATACAAGATCTTTTTTAAAAAAAATATTTTTTTTTTCCTTCCAGAATTCTGTATGTTCTACATAAGAAATATATTGTTAATTGTGAATAATAACATGATCTGAAGTCAGTTCGTAGCATGTTTTACGGGAGAAATACATTCAGTATAAAAGCGATTAAAAATTTGTTTTTGAAGAATTATGCTACAAATTAAGTGCTTTTTCAAATATCTGTGGAGAATGTAATTTTAGTGTGAAGTATATCATTTTTCATTGATCATGTTTTCTTAATTTTTTGTAGTCATGTATAATTAAGGAGTACTGATTAATCATATTCTAATAAAGGTTTAATCAAGTACATCAGAGGAAACAGTTTCCTATTTTAATAAATTGAAGTAAATTATAGCTGAAGGATAAAATTTTGAGCTGTGCCTCTCAGATTATTGGTTTTAGCGACATTTCAGACTTGCGTTTAAAATAATTTTTTGGATATATGTAAGTGTGTTAAGGAACTGTTTTAAAAAATACCTTAATTATATATGCTTTCATTTATATTTTTCTTGTGAGAGAAAAGGAAAATTATTTTCTACTAGAGTTGTTGTAGTTCTGAAGCCTGTTTTATGTTTTCAAATATGAAAGGGTGTTCGACTGTTTTTGTATTTGCTTTTGCAGTGTAATCTACCTTTGGTTCTTTTAATGAAATTGTGCTGTTTTAATTTCCTGATTCTTGGTATGTGCTTGTGAATATATATTCAAAGAATTATAAAGTTTTCAGTGCCATTTAATATGCTGTCACAGTTGCAGTAGCTGTCAGAATATTAAAATAGAAAGATATGTAAACATTGCATCAGGTTAAATTAAATATCAGAAAATATGGATATTGTAAATTAAAATTATTTTTCACTACATCTTTGTGGATAGTATACTGCTGAAATGCATATGCCAGGGTAATATTACATCAAAAGTCATGTAAAATTTCTGAATGAATAGTATAAAAGTGTAAACAGTGCATCTAGTGTGTTTAGAGAATTATTGTTAAAGGATTATTTTCTACAATGCAGAAAAGAAAAAAGGAACTATTTCATATAATGTATTTTATGAATCTTGTTCTCTTAAAAAAAATTTTTATTGTATTAGCAGTAAAGTACCAGAGTTTTTTAGCATGTACTATTAAAAATTTACCGTGAACTTATTTCAGATTTTTAAATTATGATAATTTCAGCTGAAGGGAATAATAAATTTAATTGTGGGCCATCTTAATATGTTATCAATTCCAGCATGCCTTATCTATTGTTCCTGCTGGAGAAACTGACTTTTCAAAAAATATTAAAATTTTTTCATTCATCTTGAATGCTTTTGTAGTTTTGTTATAGCTAATGCATTCTAGTCTAAAAACATTAATTTTTATTTTAAGTATAAAGGGCATATTTTTAATTAAATTTTTATTTATCATCTGTTTCTGATTATATATATATATATATATATATATATATATTTTTTTTTTTTTTTTTTTTTTTTAAGAATAGTAAATTTCAAAATTAATGTAATTTTTCCCTTGTTCTGTTGTCACTTTAAGACGCAGTTAAAATTTTTGTAAGTGCTAGTCAAGATTCAAGGCATTGTGATAAATACAAATTAAATGGGCGTTTTGTATGTATTTGTATTTTTGTTAAGTTTCAGAATTCCATTATATGGCTAATTATGAATGTAGCGTATCACAAAGGGACATGTGTCTTCTACATATAAAATTTCCCAAAACATATTTGAGGACCATTTCTATCACTGAAGTTTTTTGTCTATTCTTGCATTATCTACTTGTTATTTATGTCTCATGACAATTAACTCCTCTACACTGTGATCATCTGTAAAGAATATCTGATGACTTCTCATACTGGTGATGGATTCACTATTTTCATGGTCATGACACTAGTTATGACCTTTTCTGCCGTATATTGTGATCTTTCTTTACTAAGGTGAATGTTGTGAATAAATAAATTCTTTCGTCATCCTGAGTAGATGCAATAGTTTGCAATTCTCAGTTATTGAGAACTTTTGTTTGCTTTATGTATTTTGAATTCATATTTATATTGTGAAGAATAAAATTGTGTGAAAGCACATGATCTTGCTAATTGTTCATATACATTGATGTACCTTCTGTAATGTTTTGCTGATTTAAGACTGGTTATATTTTTTAATAAAACCTGTTTTTTGATTGTCTGAATGTCAGCATTATATGAGTAAAACATGTTACAAAAAGTCTTCTGGTATAATTTTTTCATACAAAATAAGAATGAACCTCGTAGAATATACCTTGAACATTGACAAAAACAACGGAAGAAATTTTTTAAAGTTAAAAAGTGTATGATTGGTAGAAATAAATTTATAAGTATTTCAAATCTGATATAAGTAGATAAAAATAATGTAATGTTTTGCAATTTTTTTTTTCAAAGAAAAAATTACATTAGGGCATATATATGAATGTGTACTCTTTTAGAATATGTGAAGCAGCAAGCAAGGTATATGGTAGTTCAAAGAATACAATTAGCCAACAAAAGCTTTTGTAATTTTTAGTCAAGGAAGAGTGAAAAATCATTGAATTTCTAAGAATTTGACTTTCCACAATGCACAATCGACTGGGGATATTCAGCAACTTGTCCAGAGATTGTAGACAATAATTTTGGAATTAATTTTAAATTAAGTCTTATAGGTATTTATGATGAGAACTTAAAATTTCACTTAGGACACAAGACATTGTTTTCGTGTTTTTATATCTGTGCATTTAACGTAAATTTGATTTTATTGAAGGAAACTGTATGTGCCAGCATGTTGCTTATTGTGTAGATGCCAGGAGAGAAATTGTCCCAAAGAAGTGTTTTGAAATCCCATGTTGAAACTCCATGTCAGTTTTGATGGCTACAAGAATCGAATAGTATATTCACATATGAGCCACACAGAATATGTTTGAGATATCAAAGGGCGCTGTCTCAAAAGCTTTGATTTGTCCCTTTGGAAATAGAGGCTAGTGATTTCACAATATTTAACTAAAGGTACGTCCATTCGGTTACACTGGCTACGTAAATCGGAGAACCGATAAAAATTCTTCCAAGCAAAGTCCAGATTGAGACAATAGAATTATTGAGCAGAAAAAAAATGTCATAACCCGCAGAAGACTGCAAGCGCAATGCATTTCATTTGGTGTTTTGCTGTTTGCTCAAAAGAGTCATACTCAGTTTGTTTTGTTATGAAATTTTTTTTGGTAAGCAATTTAACTAGAGAAAGTAACAAAATTAAACAGTTACACGCATAAATAAGTTTTAATGCAAATTAAGATTAAAATGTTTTCAAAGAATTGAATGACTTGAGAGACCATACAATAAAATCAACTTTAGTTTTTTTTTTTTTTCTTACAGTTATTTCAGTTTTTTCTTTCAATATCCATTCTTGTTTTGTTTATGTGTGCGGGAGGCACTTCCTTATTGTAACTTTCTAGTATTTGTAAAAAGAATCTTTGTAATAAATGTCTTATAATTTTATCATTCTCTAATTATTATTACAAATATAAATTAAAAAATAAAAGTTCATCCAATTAAGTTTATTTATTGCAAATTTAAATTTAATAGATTGTACAGGAAATTATATTCCCACTAAAAGATAAATGTGGAAGGGATTTTTAAGTAAAAAAAAAAAAAAAAATTAAATAAATGTGCCCTTTTTATATAAATATATTAAGGCATTAAATTTTAATTTAGTACTGCTTATAAGTGAAAATTTATTTCTGTAAAATGAAATGCCTCCAATTTCAGCATTTAAAAAATTAACATTTCTAAAGTAATGTCTTGTAAAACACATTTCGGTGAAATATTTATGCCTTGTGAATATCAGTTCTCATCTGCATTCATTTTATTAAGATTTTTCTCAATATACTCCCAATGATTATAGTAAGCCTTAAAAAGGATAGATGGTTATAATTTTTTAGGTCTTTAAATATATAAGATATGGGTGCTAGAAAAATGTAACGTCATGCTTTAAGTTTTCCGGTAATTCTGATGCTTCCAAATATTAAATGATTGAATTATTATTTCTCTGAGCGCAAGGGATATGTTGCTTGTGATAATATGTCAATCGTACGTGGTGTAGCAAGCATAATGGCACGATACCTTTTTGCCGTCCCCCCAAAACATATCAAATATACTCTTAATGCAAATATAATACAAATAATAAACAAGTACCTATCTTAAAATACTCTTTAACAGCGGTTCTCAACCTTTTGATAACACGTACCATCTAAAGAAAAGAAAAATGGAACAACTTTAGTACCATTACTACATTTCACAATAATTATTTTTAGTTTCTCAATAGAAATTATTAAAAAATATTTTGCCATTTGCACTACCTGATGGCTATTTGTATTACATATGCACACATAAAAAATATTATATTAAACATTGGTTACTATTTTAACTATGAAAATTTGAGCTATAATACCTTAATTATAAAATTTAGTGCGAAATTTAGGCCTATTTAAAGATAGATGAATTTCTTTATTGGTTTGAACCAAAAGTTAACAAGTGTGTTATTTTTAAAAACTTCAGTTGGAGTTTGATCACACGTAATTTCTATCAGTTATTGTTCACGAGATGAAATATCAGGTACATTTGAATAAAATGGATTTCTAATCAAATTTTCTTTTTCATAATCCTGAGGAAAATACAGGTTGAAATTATTTATCAATGGAAAATGATTTTTAACATTGGATGCTAATTATTCCTTTATTGTCAAATTATTTTTGGTTAGAAAGCTTTCTAAAAGTGGTAAAAAGCCTAAAATATTATTGTTCAATTCTTTGATTATTAACTCGAGTTTTTTTATCATTGCATTTATTTTATCTCTAATGGTAAACAAATTAACACTTTATCCTTGTAATCCCAAATTTAATTCATTTGACTTTCCAGAAATATTAGCTAAGTATGCTAAACTCGCCAACCATAATACACTAAATAAACATATTTGTTCTTCAAATTTTGAATTTAGGATCAAAGTTCAAAAAGACGATTTAAAACTTTGCTTCTAGATAACCACTTCAATGTAACAAAAGCGTTTCATGCTCACTGCCTATCTATTGACATAAAATTGTAAATATTCCTGAATTTGATAAAATTAACATTTTTCAAAGCTAAATTCAATACGATTTTCGGGGATTGTGTTGACTACTAAAACTTCATGATGAATGGAGCAATGAATAAATTTAGTTTCAGGTGCGACTTTCTTTACTTCAAAAATATCACCGGAATGTTTTCCTCTTAAAGCTCGAGCTCCATCGCTGCATACGCCAATGCCCGTATTCTTATTCAGACATAAAATTGTCAATACTTTGATAATTTCACTTGCAGTTGCTCTATCACGAACAGATTCAGAAAATAAATACTTTTCGGCAGTTCGTTTAGCTTCAAAACGTATGTAAGCTAATAATTGAACAAAGTTCGTTATATCGGTACTTTCTTCGAAATTGCAATGCGAAGTACTCACTCTGTTTTACCTTTTGAATAAAGGTATCAAATTTGCCATTTCATGAATTCGTCGACTTACTGTATCATTTGATCACGGAATATTAATGTATATATGAATAAGTTCTTCAGCCGCTTTTTCGTTGAATAATGTTAAAACGATGTCTTTAATTGCTGGTAATATAAGGTTTTCTCAAACAGTATAAGCCTGCCCAGTGTTGGCTGTTTTTAGGCTTAATAGGTAACTAGCTTCCAAGGATTTTTCATTTGAATTAACAAAAACCTTTCATGAGTTGTTTGCTATTTACGAACTTCGATAATTTCCTTTTAAAATATTCTTCATATGTATCCTTTAAATTGGCATGCTTTAGATCCAAGAGATCTTTTAAGAAGCGATGTTTTCATATTCTGAGTGGATAATAATTCACCGCAAATAACACATTGAGGTTGAAGGTCCGATTTATCTCCATTCCAACCCATAAGATAAATAACTTTCATTTTATTATCTATAAAAAATTTTTCTTTCTTTTCAATATTATTAGCAGAGGCGTAGCTAGGGTTCTCAGCGCCCGGGGACAGCTGAAGATTTTGCACCCCTTTCTCTGTGCCAAGAATGGAAAACATTTAATTCTAAATCAATTTGGCGGCCCCAGAAAGCTGCGCCCAAGGTCAAATGCCCCCCTTGTCCCACCCTAGCTACGCCACTGATTATTAGTGCTAGTAGATTGTCCTGCATCCAACACTTTTTCGCGTAGTCAATCCTAGCCATTTTTCCATTTTGAAAATCTAGGTTTGTTTTATAGTTACACACGTTCGCCCCAACTGAAAAGTAACAGCATTTCCCCCAAGAACTATGCAAATAACATATTTGTGGCATATCACCTCATTCGCTTACATAAAAATAAAATACGACTGGATAATCCTTTCACACAATAACTTCTCGAAGACAGACAGACAAAGTAGACAGATGTCTATACCAGGTTACAGTTAGAACCTCCCAAATCACAGTTACAAATATTATATATGAAAACAGAAATTAAGAAAAAAAAAATAATTCAAGGCATAATATTCCACATTTTGTTTTCCGAACTATTGTTTACAAACAATAAAGGAATTACACACATTTTAATTAATTTTTAGTTGCATGTAATTTATCTAAAAATGAATCTGTTGCCTCGAGTTCAAAGAAGGAAACATTAGTTTCAAATATCAATACACACGCTGGCCATTGAATTTGAAACCCAAGATCGATATTTTGTTGGACCACCTTTTGCATGGATAACTGCTCTAATTCGTTTTGGCATCGAGTCCACATGCTTCTGGGGTGCATTTACGTCCAGAGAATACTATGCATTGGCTCTGCAGCTTTTTATGTCATGCAAATTAGATGGAAGAGAAGAGTGCTATCGGATGCGTCTTTCCCCCATATCCCACTTATTTTCTATGGGGTTAAGATCAGGCCTATGCGTTGGCCAGGGAAGGTGTTGGAAGTCAGACTCATGTTCAGCGAACCAATTTTGAACACTTCTGGCACGCTGTGTTGCATTATCGTCCATGATGTATCCATCTCCATCAGGGTAAAAAAGGAACATTGCAGGGTGTACTTGATCTGCCAGTATATCTAGGTATCTCATGGTTGTTTCTTTACCCTCGAGGAACATCAGAGCATCACTTCCATGCCAGCAGAATCTGTCTCATATCATAAAACTTCCACCAGATCCTTGCACAGTGCGAGTAAGGCAAGATGGATTCATG